TGAGATTGTCAGGCAAATTCTAGTCCAATATTATTCTGTGTATATAGCACACTAAAAATCCACCATTCTGTGTATAAAGCACTGAAAACATGTCAGTCATCGGTATACAGCATTACGTAAGTGGATAGATTTTAGCAGAAACACAAACATTGGAGAAAATAACAGAAAGAAAAACAAATGTGTTATATGTGATCCATCTGTGAAGCCAAACAATAGCCTAAGGTTTATAACCACAAGAGTTTGCTACTCTTACTTCCTTCTCTAATTCTCTTGATTGGGCTAGAAAGACAAGTTTCAAAGAGTGTCAGCACTTTACCCATATGATTAAAATCAAGATGTGTACTAAAAAAAATACATGCTTTTCTAGCACGCCAACTTGATGCTGTTGGAGGTTGGTGTGAAATTGGCAGGAGAAAGAACATTTGAGGAAGGCTTTCCTTAGTTTGATTGCAAAGTTAAGTTTAATGTCCTGTGAGGTCTGCCTCTGTTTTTTTTTTGAGCAGCTCCATTTTCATTTTAACAGAAAAAGTGGAAATTGACATGATGGCACCCATAGCAATCAGATTTGGCTTGGCAAAGTCTTCTGATGACACTGACTTTTTAAAAATGAAAAATAACAGGCATATATTTCTGAATCTTGTAGAGAGGGGTAACTGAACAGTTGAACGGAATTCAGCTAGGGCCAGTAGTGTAATTGAATCTCTTTCCAAGTGTGTCTTACAGAGCAGTAAGACTGAAGCGACTCAATAATCTCCATATATTGTGGACTTCAACCCCCATTGGTTCTCCACTAGCATGGCCAGTGGGCTGTTTCATCTGTATTTCAGCTTGGTCTGAATTGTATTGCAAATCCCTAACCCCTATGTTATCCCTACACAACTTTGGGGTTTTTTTTCCCTTCCATTCAATTACGTCTAATTTTCAGAGACTGCAGTTGTCTTGGAACCCTGTAATTTTCTTAGTAAGGTTTTTCAGATGTGGTTTGCCACTGCCTCCTTCCTAGGGTTGAGAGTGTGTGAGTGGCCCAAGGTCACCCAGCTGGCTTCGTGCCCAAGGTGAGACTAGAACTCACATCTAGCCTGATGCCTTAACCACCACACCAAACTGGCCCATTATTATGTGGTAACCAGAACTCAAATTAGACTCATGGGATTTTTAAAAATCTTTTTAACCATTGAGTTCACAGAATTATATTATGGCACATGTATCCCAGTGCAATTCATACATCTGTGCAAATACGTGTTTATAGGATTTTATTTTTATTACAATAACAACATTCTAAAAATTTGAAATTAGCATTGAATTTTGGTGAATTCTATGAGGCTTTGATAATTTTAAATAAAATATTTGACATTTTTCCATCTTCCCTTTTTAAACTAAGGTACCTAGTTCTCTTTCATTCCCAGCTTATCTTCACAACAATCTTGTGAGGTAGGTAAGGCAAAAGGATGGTAATTAATTGTGATGAATGAGCCAGGATTTTAACCTCTCTTAGCCTCAGTCTAATCCATAAACACAAATAATTTTCAGGGCTGTAAATCTAGGTAAATATCACTTAACTTTATCTCTCCAGTAAATTTTCCTATCTCAGCTCAGTTTTTTTCACTGCCAATGTTTGGCTTTGATGGGCAGTTTGTTGAGATGTCAGATAAATAAATATTAATAGTTTAGTTGGACCAGAACCATTTTTGCAGTGTGCTTCACTAGTGAATTCTTTGTGAAAACTAAAGGATTTTCTTGAAAGCAATTCTGTGGAATATCTATCTGTGAAAGGCTAAATATCCATGGGAATGACCTGACCCTTGGTTTTGACTCATGTGTTCTAGCTTTTTGCCTAGTGATTCAGATGAAGGTTACAACATCAGGACTTTTTGGAGAACTGTATATTGTTTAGTAAATAAGGAAGATCATCCACTGATTGTTATGACTAAAACTTTTTCAGTTCCTAGGAGCATTCATTTATGAGGCAAATTTACTGCTACTTAAGGTAGTCTGCAGTCTAAAAAATTCCTCTCCCATACAACCTTTTTCTGCTTAATGCCCTCCAGATCAGCTGGACCAATATTTTCATCATCCCCAATCAGTATGGCAATTGGATATAGCAGGGGTGTCAAACAGCCAGCCCATGGGCCGGATGCATCATAGTGAAACCGCGCCCACTCCATTGCCGGCAATGGAAAAAAAGTCGTGATACCTCACAACATGTCACGTAATGTTGCGAGTTTAACACCCCTGGGATATATAGTATTTTTTAAGTTTTTCATGTGACCGAGTGGCTGTGGTTGCCGGCGCCCCGGCATAGTCAGCTGATTCCATCGCTGTCTATAGGGGGCGAAACTTTGGCCCCCTCAGAGAGGGCGCGCAACTTGGGTGTCCTCCTGGATCCACGGCTGACACTGGAAGATCATTTGTCGGCCGTGACCAGGGGGGCGTTTTATCAGGTTCGCCTGATTTACCAGTTGCGC